CGTGGTTAAGTTTTAAAATTTTTCTTAAAAGGAAATGGGAATTGGAATCTGTTTGGTGATTCTCTGTCCGTCTCATTTCAAAATGTGTCCAATACAGTGTCGTTTTCTCAGCATTATAAATGTTGATACTAGTGGGTGTTTAGAGATTTCTTCAATGTTTTTTCTTTCTTCAATTCACTTTATTTTATGTTTAGAATTCTCCTCAGTTATTTGTTTTCTAATGAATTTATCTATTGTTCCGCAACTTTAGTTGGTTCTTCAACTGTCACTGGCTTATGTTAAAAAAAAAACCTTTATGAGTATTCAAATACCTGGTTTTCCCAGTTCCTTCTGAAATCTGGCAGTCAGCAATGATGGCGGGATGCCTGTATGTGGATTCGGGCAACCGGCTCTGGTTTCCAACCAGTGGACATGATAATCGGCACTGTCTGGGATAATGCGGTAGTCGTCAACTGTGAAATGGAATGTGAGCTAGCAGTTTAATGTGTAAGTTAAAACAACAGAGGAAAGAAAAGATTCAAGAAAATCTAACAAGAAAATTAGAAGAAGACAGCAAGGAGAGAAAGACAGATCTGGTAGGAAGACAAATAAAAGAAGAGCAACTGATGATTCTTCATATAAAGGTGTTTGTAATCATGATGATGATGAAGTGATTAAAATTATTATCTTGGCTAAAAAAAATGTGATTGTTAATGATGGCCAAAAAAGGGGCCACGTTAGCGCAGTCGATAAGAAGCTTGCTTTCAAATCCAGCTGTGAATCGTTGCAGCCCACAGTCGGTGGTTCACCAGCCTCTAGGAAATAGGTACCAGAGTGATACTCTGGGGTAAATGGAGGAATGACGCTGTAGCTATAGAGTTACATGCGAACGACGACACAGGCGGACAATTCTTATCAGCTGTCCGTACTAGTGGCAGAGCACTTATGGTTTAGAACCGTGTGCAATGACGCTGGTTCACATCTCCGGACTTTACCTTTTTAATGATGGCAAAGATTTGATGAAGACAATGAGGAGTTTGGTTCAAAATAATCAATAAATGATAATGATGAAGTGATTTAAATGATTAAGGTGGCAGTAAAAATATTGATGATCAATGATGGCAAAGATCTGATATAGACAATGAGGAGTTTGGTCAACAATAATCAATAAATGATAATCATTACGATGTCAATAATGTTGATGCTAATTCATTCCAAACCTATGGTCATATGTGTAGCTCAAGGTTACTTTTTGCACTCTATGTCACTGCATACATTACATTCCAGTTCATCTTGTGTTCTCTTGCAACAAGGCCTGGCATATACAATAACATCTAGTTTGAGAATGGAGGTAGAGGCTGTCAGTGCAGCCTTCCAATGGTGTCAGAACCAGCTGTAGGCACATTTTGTAATTGTAACTGACTCACAGAGCATATTGAGACAGGTGGAGACAGGTATGCTACCTGCAGAGTGGCAAGCATCAGACTGGCTGATTCTGCACTACTTATTAGTGTAATGATGCAGGACACACAAGGTTTTAGTTTTGTAAGGCTCATTTGGGAGTGAGTAAGCAGTGTGGAGGCAAAAATATATTACTGCGTTAGGAAAAGAATAGTGTTGTCAGGAGTGAAAAGGGCATGATTTTGTAGAGAATTTTTCAGGACAGTCCTACAGTCATAGTCAGTTACGTTAATTTGTTTCATTGCCCTCACTTTGCCCCGAGTGGAAGCGCTGTCCTTATTTCGTGACTTGCCCTTCGCCATGAATTTCATTGACCTGTCAGTATTCCTAGATGTAACCCTAACCCTAACTCTGACCCTAACCCTAATACTTGAACAATCATTCACAGAAAAGAGAGCTACTCACTCACTTTCATCTGGGAGAAAAGAAACCTGCCCACCTTTGTATCATGTGGGAAACAGTATTACCATCCAGTCAAACCAAGCCAAGACACTTGTTGGTACACTGCATGTACACAGCCAGGACAGTCTGCAACTAGTTGCAGGCGGTCGTGTACAAGCCGATTGAAGGCAGGTCATATAACCCCCCCTTTTAGACTGTGAGACTGTCTCCGGCGATTCCTTATAAAGTCACACTACATGATATGGGGTAAAAAACCTGAAAAAACTTAACTCTGCGCTTGCTGCTGAAGATGGGGAAGGAGCGCTTATAGGAGTGTCCAGAGTGCTGTGATGTCAGTTTAACATTCAATACTGTCTTGCGTGCCTGACAATTTTAAGATGAAGAAAGAAAAGACTTTCCAGGGCATAGCACGGCATCCATTTTAGACGGGGGCTGACTTAAGTCAATTACTAAAATCCACTTCATTTGAAATTTAAGCTTAAGATCTTCAGGCTGGCAGGCAACAAATGTAGTTGCCACAATGTTTAAGTGCTAACTGGGGCGGCGTGGTCTTGAGGCATTGTGTCCACCCTGAGTGCTTAAGGTTCTGATTTCGATCCCTGGGATTTTTTCACGTGGAATTGGACTTCTAGTAATTCCCCTAAGTCTCTGGGTAGTGAGATCGGACGCCTGTGTGCATTGTTGCGCATGTGGAAAATCCCTTGGCAGATGGAAATCGAAAAGAGTAGCCTAACGGCGCTGCCCGGGCAAAATTTGGAGTTAAAAATCCACCAAAAGTATTTCAGGATCCTCGCCGGTGCTACAGAGCCTGTGCACTGTGATGAGCTTATTCGGACTCAGACCTGAGTTAGAAGAAGAACGGAGCACTTATGGGTTACACCCGTGTGCTTTGATGTTGATCTGTTGTTAAAAACCTTCAAAACCCTAAGTACTAATTATCTGAGTGCTTTGACTCCTGGACAATTAATAAACAACCGAAAAAAAAAGTTTTGCAGCCTCGGAAATGTGGTTTTACAGAAGAATTCTTATAATTTCTTGGACAGCCAAAAAGAGGTCCGGGCTCGAAGACAACTTATCACAAAAACCAGAAAGAGACAGTCCTCATTGTTTTAGGAGGTTATATTATGAGAAAGAAACTGGAAAGATCAGTGGAAAAAATAAGACAGAGGAAGATGACATGAGAAGATTTCTGACATTCTTTTGTCATCATGGCATGGAGGGGAGTCAGCACACAAAATGATACTTGCCTTTGAAGATCACTGATTGCCCATGTCAGGTGGCAAGAGACTTGATAAGGATGATGATTTATTTAAGGTTACCCATTCTTCAAGAAATGACAGGTCTTCTAAAATAATCACATCTTTATTAATGGGTGCCGCATTAGCACAGTCGAAAGGAGACTCGTATTCAAATCCAGCTGCGAGCAGCTGCAGCTCATGGCCGGTGTTCCAAACCTGGCGGTTCCAGGGGTTCACCGATTTGATTTGATTTGATTCAAGAACCGACATCACATCACTCGGGGCATTCTCATAAGCGCTCCATCCCCATCTTCAGCAGCCAGCGAAGAGTTCCGATACTAATGGTGCCAGTAGCTTTCTGATTAAACGTCTGTCTTGCCTATCCTCTGAGCCTCGAGCATCTGCCAGAACCTCTCGTCACCCCCACCTCTGCATCAATCTTACCAGACTGTGGTGATCCATCTGCTCCTCCGAATTGTACACGCTCTCCCACAAGGCACTAACCACATCTGCCCTATCATGTATCAGTATTCCACCAAGTTGTGCAGAGCCAGCCAGTCTGTCCGCTTGTTCATTTCCCAACACACCGGCTTGACCCGGTGAAAAAATCCAGACAATACTCCTCCCTCGTGTCCTCCGCAGCGAAGCATGCCACTCTGCACGAAGCATGCCTGTTCTGATCTTCCTTTCTGATCATGCTTTCTGAATCAGTTACAATCATGATGGGTGTGTGTGTCGTGTTCTCTAGCCAGCCGAAAGCTGCAGTGACCACCTCCACCTCCATTCTGGATGTTGTGGTATCATATGCTAGGCTCTCCTGCACCAAACGTCGACCATTAACTTTTGCTAAGAAGCCCCTAGCACTTCTTTTGCCTCTTGACACTGAACCGTCTGTGTAAATGGTCAAATCCTCTCAGTGAGCATTATCTTGAATTAATTGCTGAATTTCCACCTCTGTGGCACCTGCTGGCCAGTCTCTGCATTCCCGGCTCAGCGTGATTATGACTCTACACAAGTCTGCCTGAGCCATCCCTGACCTCCCTCTTATCAGCCGCTGACCCTTAACTGCACCCAGAGCTTCATGCAGAGGGTGGTCTGTGTCTGCAGCTACCCTGAGATATGATTTCGCCTGCAGCACCTTGTGCCTACCTGCAACCGTCGGCAAACCAAGGATGTATCGCATACACACCACTGGGGTGTCTCTGGTGCAACCCAGAATGACCCGCATAGCCGCGTTCTGTATGCGCTCTAGTTTGTCCATCTGACTATTTGGGACGGTAAGCAGTCCCAGGGGTTCACCGAGCCTCTAGCTAATGGGTACCAGAGTTAACACTCTGGGGTAAATGAAGGAACGTCGCTGCAGCTGCGGAGTTGCATGCGGATGGCGACCCAGCGGTCCGTACTGGTGGCAGAGCACTTATGGTTTAAAACCGCGTGCAATGACGCTGGTTCACATCTCCCGACTTTACCTTTTTTTATTTTTTAAATCATCTTTACAGAATGCTATTCCCATCACGTAACAACTGAAAGAAACGTTACCCCCATCAGCTCTCTCACACTTCAGGCACTTTCCTGTCCAAGATGTCACTAATGTCCTGAGCCCATCTTCATGCTTGTCAGCCCCTGCCCCCCTTTTACCCCGTACCGTGACCTCCAATACTATTCTTTCCAACCCATCGTCTCATTTGATGTGGCCAAAGTATTTCAGTTTCCGAAACCAGATGCTGTTTATTAGCTAATTTTCCTTCATCTGCAGATCTTTACGGATATCGATCTTTCTTTTCGTGTTGGTCCATGGTATTTTATGAATTTTTTAATAGCATTCCAGTTCAAAAGTCTCTACTTTACTTACAGCTGAGGGTTAAACTAACCAGAAGGAACATGAAACAAACATTTTTAATTAAAAAAATAATCACTCACTTGCTGAAATGTGCCGATCAGAGGCTCCCTTGATCAAAATGTCATAGCAAGACACCTCAACCTTCAACTCTTCTTTGGAATGCCTAGCTATGATACAGTGAGGCTGAGTCACGTAGACATAAATTAATGGAATGATGCAGGCACTTCCCTTAGGGATGACCTTCTTTAAGCTGTCTTCAGTCGCCTGTGTGGAAGAAAACAAAGAGAGGTAATATCTTACACTCGCCCGTAAGGGTTTCAGGACTCTAGTTGGCAGGGGGGAAGGGAGGGGGGTCTAAAAACACTGTCCTTAAACCCTTTTGCTCGTGAATGCTTAGAATATATGGTCATGAAACCCAAAAACATCCTTTTTTTTTTTTAAACTACAATTTTACACAGGTTGCTAATAAATTGTTTGAAACCTTACTTATCTACATTTGTTTTCTTCAAAATAAGGATATGCAAATGAAATAATCAATAAACATGAATAGAGAAAGTCAAAACATTAAACACAAGACATTTCCCAAGGCCTAAAACAATTATGTATACAATGACTCATGCTATGACCCTGTTACCTCTATCACTGAGGCAGACGGGAAAATTAAACGTCAACCTGGTTTTTAAAAAAAGCTGTCTGTTCACAAGTTAACCCCCTCAAACATTATTTTTACTTAATATATTCATATCCAGATCTCCTTTAACACTAAGCAGGCACAAACAGAACCAGTGGCATTTCATTATACTTTTAGAGAATAGGTCACTGCAGACAAGTTGATACATTAGCTCCCTGTGTGGGTTCCGGGGCCCTATTATAGGGAAAACAAGAATAGACCCACTGCCTACCCAAAAGCATGTCATAAGATTCGACTAATTGGGAGCTTCCTTCAAAGTCGGAGTGCATCTGCCTGAGAGGCAAGGAACCAGCAGTCTGCCTACAAATGAGTCAGATTTGTCAAACGGATGCACACGCAACAGGTTCTGGACAGGAATGCAGTCCAGAAGTGGATGAACAGCCAGAACTTTCGGCCAGAGTTTACAGCTCATGAGCGTGAAGAAGAAGAAGAAACATCAGCATTTACGGGACTGGGTCACAACCAGAAGAAATCAGATTGATTAGATTTAGTCTTCTCGAACCAGCACAGGCGCTACACATGAAAACATCTGAAGTGAAAGCAAGATGCCCCCGTAGGAGAAACTGATGACAATAAATAGCTTCTACATCAACACGGAATGACAACACCCAATGTTGTCCATCAAGCAATGGATCACAAACTATTCCTTCCCACAACGCTTAAAAGCATAAGTGAAAACTGACGAAGAGGAGGAAGAGGAGGAGGAGAAGAAGAAAAAGAAGATACTGCTGGATCTTTTAAGTGGTTCTTTTCTTGCTCTGTGCTCTGTATATTTCCTCAGCATGATTCTCTGTGGCAGTTAGTACCATGGCATTTTTTTCAGATCAAACCTCTGAATCTATTATTCTTGAATATATTGTATAACTGTTTTCATTCCTAGCCTTCTTCAAGTTTTTATTTTAAATTATTTCTCTTCGTGTTCCTCTAGGCTTTGTTCTAAGACATTTTGTCTTTTAGTTTTTCATTAGTTTGTTGTATTAGAGTCAGGGCTTTTCCTTTCTGGTTGTATGCAGTATCAGCGACTTTTTTCGGACATTTTTTTATAGCTCTACTGTAATATTTTGTGTTGAATTCCGGCCACCTTTTTATGATGCTTTGTGGTGGGTACTAGCTCCTTTTTATTATTATTATTTTTTTGACTTGACTTGACATAGGGAGAGAAAAAACTCGGACTGCTTCAACCTGCCACGAGAGCTTGGCTTTATTTGCGTCCTTGCTTCTTTCGGTTTGGTCGCGTTCTTCTCTTGTTGCCTGTAGATACGCCCGACGCAGTGCTGCTACTTTGCTCTCCTTGCCACTGTCGGAGTTGGATATGATTTCTTTGCTGGTTGTCAAGCACGTCGTCACTGACTGCACCCGGCAGCCGCCAAGCGCACCCTCCAAAAACAGACAAACCTGCCACCGAGCTACCTTGCCACTCACAAGGCCCTTTTCAGGGTCCCATATTTTTCTTTTTTGCTTTTAATTTTTTGCCTCATACATTATTTTTTTTTTTTTTTTTTTCATTTGTTTATTTATTTACACACAAAAAAATCTCAGATAAGAGTCCATGCTTGACAATGGTCAATCAAAACATAGCTTACACAAGACACTGCATCACGTCTGCTTCAATTAAATGTTGGTAGGAAACACAAAAACAAACCTAATTTAAACTGACCAAACACACCTTCATAAAAACTGATGATGTAAACGATGCATCACCACCAAAAGATCCGTCATCTTCCTGACCTTCACCGTCAATCCCACCAGTACTGCCTTGACCTAGTTTTTCTGCGGCACTGTTCAGGATAGGTTCCAGGTTGTCCCTGGCATTTACCAAACTTTGTTGTCTTCCAGCTGCTTGATCTGGCTGCTTCTGTAGAGCTTTTCTCTCTCGGAACAATGGCAATTCTAAGATAACAGCTTCCTCCAGAACCTGAAATAGAATACCGTTTTCATCTTTATCTTTGATAAAGATCGTTCTCTCTGTGCGTGTGTGTGTGTGTGTGTATGTGTGCGTGGCAATGTGTGTGCGTGCGCACGCACATGTGTGTGTCATGAGTTATGAGTTGGATTGCCTTCACAGCACTCTGGACACATCCATTGGCGCTCAGATTCCCCTCTCAACATATTCCTCAGCGTCGCGCCTTTAATAGCGCCAGACCTATGTTGGTAAACAAGACTTCGTGTGCGTCCAGTGTGCTTCTCATGCTTGGCTGTGCCGATCTTTACTCCCAATTCGCATATTCTTAGCAGTGATGTGGACCCGTTGCTTCCAAAATCCTCAGAACTTCCTATCTCTCTAAGGGCAATAACAATGTCTGCGTGGTCCATGGGCCGGCCATCTTTGATTAATGCAGCGCCTGCCAGAATGTGTGTGTGTGTGTGTGTGTGGTCGAGCATACCCATGTGGGTCGCAGGGCGCCATGTTGGGGGAAGCGAACAGACCTACTGTCCCCTAACCAGCAAGCAGAAAATTGACTAATTATGGGCATTTCCTTCGAAGTTGGAGTGCATCTGCCTGAGAGGCAAGGAACCAACAGTCTGCATACTGATAAGGCGGGTCTATACGATGGATAAAAGTAAAGTAAAGGACCCTTTTCCATGCCTTTCAGGTGGATTGGGTATACAGGGCTAGACCTATATTTTATAGACCAATGGCACAAGACGGGTGATGCGGTCAGCATCATGCTGGCCGCCTTTACTTCCCAGGACTGCACCAGATACCCATTCAAGAGTGGGTCAACGGATATGCATGCAAAACTGAAGTCCTGGAACACGACCAAAGTCCAGAAGTGGACGAACAACATTATTACTATAACAGTGTCAATTCTAACAGAAAATATTTTGTTACTTATTATTCTTAGCAAAGTTTTGTTGTTGTTGTTGTTGTTGTTGTTGTTGTTGTTGTTGCAAAAAACTGTTGTGCAAGCAAAACTCGAGTTCTGGAACAAGACTCAAGTCCAGAAGTGGACGAACAACCAGAACTTTCGGTACTTGATTAATATCCTACCCCGAACAGGGGAAATCCACAGGCCACATGACAGTCAAATATTTCAGCGGGTGGTAGATAGGCTGCATACAGTCGTGAGACCAAGGCAGCATACAGTCGTGGGACCTAGGCTGCATACAGTCGGGAGACCTAGGCTGCATACAGTCGGGAGACCTAGGCTGCATACAGTCGTGGGACCTAGGCTGCATACAGTCGGGAGACCTAGGCAGCATACAGTCGAGAGACCTAGGCAGCATACAGTCGTGGGACCTAGGCTGCATACAGTCGTGGGACCTAGGCAGCATACAGTCGGGAGACCTAGGCAGCATACAGTCGTGGGACCTAGGCAGCATACAGTCGGGAGACCTAGGCTGCATACAGTCGGGAGACCTAGGCAGCATACAGTCGTGAGACCTAGGCAGCATACAGTCGGGAGACCTAGGCAGCATACAGTCGTGGGACCTAGGCAGCATACAGTCGTGGGACCTAGGCAGCATACAGTCGGGAGACCTAGGCTGCATACAGTCGTGAGACCTAGGCAGCATACAGTTGTGGGACCTAGGCTGCATACAGTCGGGAGACCTAGGCTGCATACAGTCGGGAGACCTAGGCTGCATACAGTCGGGAGACCTAGGCAGCATACAGTCGGGAGACCTAGGCTGCATACAGTCGTGGGACCTAGGCTGCATACAGTCGTGGGACCTAGGCTGCATACAGTCGGGGGACCTAGGCTGCATACAGTCGGGGGACTTAGGCTGCATGCATTCGTGGGACCTAGGCTGCATACAGTCGGGGGACTTAGGCTGCATGCATTCGTGGGACCTAGGCTGCATACAGTCATGGGACCTAGGCTGCATGCAGTCGTGGGACCTAGGCTGCATGCATTCGTGGGACCTAGGCTGCATACAGTCATGGGACCTAGGCTGCATGCATTCCTGGGACATAGGCTGCATGCATTCGTGGGACCTAGGCTGCATACAGTCATGGGACCTAGGCTGCATACAGTCGGGAGACCTAGGCTGCATACAGTCGGGGGACCTAGGCTGCATGCATTCGTGGGACCTAGGCTGCATACAGTCGTGGGACCTAGGCTGCATACAGTCATGGGACCTAGGCTGCATACAGTCATGGGACCTAGGCTGCATACAGTCATGGGACCTAGGCTGCATACAGTCATGGGACCTAGGCTGCATACAGTCATGGGACCTAGGCTGCATACAGTCATGGGACCTAGGCTGCATACAGTCTTGGGACCTAGGCTGCATACAGTCGTGGGACCTAAACTGCATACAGTCGTGGAACCTAGGCTGCATACAGTCGGGGGACCTAAGCTGAATTCAGTCGGGGGACCTAGGCTGCATACAGTCGGCGGACCTAGGCTGCATACAGTCGGAGGACCTAAGCTGCATTCAGTCGGGGGACCTAAGCTGCATGCAGTCGGCGGACCTAGGCTGCATACAGTCGGCGGACCTAGGCTGCATACAGTCGGCGGACCTAAGCTGCATTCAGTCGGGGGACCTAGGCTGCATACAGTCGGGGGACCTAGGCTGCATACAGTCGGGGGACCTAGGCTGCATGCAGTCGGGGGACCTAGGCTGCATA